ATTTCGCAAGCAACGTGAGTCGTTTCGTCGTCAACTCCAATTTTGCGACTAATGCTGCGTTCGGAAATATCACTCGAGTACCCCCGTGTATCGTCTTATCCTTGTTTGACATTGAATGAATAACAAGGATAAGACGATACACGGGGGTACTCGAGTGATATTTCCGAACGCAGCATAATCGCGGATTTCTTTAAAAAACAGGCGCGCTAATCCTGTTTCATCAGTTCGCTTTTGAATTCGATCTACGAACAATGTATCTGAAGAGTTGCTGCGCGTTATTCCTGCTGGCGCTCGTCGCCTGTCAGGCTGCACCTTCATCTCAGGCAACTGAGAAATCAATTAACGAGGCAGAAACGATGCTCACCAAGAGCAACATAGAACTAGAGGGTACTGGTGCGGAAAAAGATAGAGCGAAGAAATCGGCAACGACCTTCTGCGTAGAAGTTCGCTCTGGAAAGACAGAAAAGGTGCCATGCAAGGAGATAAGGCCCCAAGGGATTGTTCAACAAGAGACATCTAAACCAGTAGTTATAGTGCAACCTATATCGATACCAGCACCAGTACCAGTACCAGCACCAGCACCTACAATTATTGAGTATCCTAAACAGCCGATTGTGATCCAGCAACAGCAACGACCGATTCAGCCTCATCTCATACCACCACCAGTGCCAACCTGTGTTCCAATAAAATCACCGCCAACTCCTGCAATTTCCGTACCTTGTGACAAACCAATCGTACAGCCGACACAGCCACAAATTCACACCATCCACGTCATTCATCCGACACAGCAACCACCTATTCATGAAGTTAAACCGTGCAAGCCAATATTTAAACCACAGGTAAAAAAAATTGTCAATTTGATAAATTGTAAAAATTGAAAAAGCTCGTCATGTACCTTCAATTTTAACATTCAAATTTAATTAGTTAAATTTAAAACCTATTTAGTGATTAATCTAATTAATTTTACTACTTATTTATTAATTAATCTAATCAATTTTCCAACTGAATTAAATTGACTATAATATTTATACCATTAAAATCTATTAAAAGAAAGGAAACAAAAATTAAAATATTATATTATTATGATTTATTTCTTTATCATAATTCAATAATTGCCACTTATTTTGCAGCAATCGATTGTTCAGGTGCCCACAGTTTGCAAAAAATGCAACAAACAAATACCTGTTCCTAAGTTTCCATCAGATGATGCCTTCGCTTACCCTGTAAGTAGGAAACATTATTAAGTTCTAAAATTACTGTTTTTTTAGTTTCTGTTAAAGCTATAAATTGAGCTTACCGCAAGTCCTTGTACTTTTGGTTTTCTGAATCTGTAATTGTTTTTCAATAGATCATGTTCTAAATACATGAAAACCGACATTTAATTGTAACTCGTTATAATAGTAACGACATTATCATTCATCATTTATGCGACGACAATGTAACGATATCATTATTGTTATAACGAGTTACAGAATACAAGCCAAAGTATTTCCATACTAAATAAAATATTATTTTATTTCTTGCTGATTTAGATCTTTTCGCCATTTGAACAAAGAACTGATTGTGAGGTAGGTCCATACGAGTGCAACTGCCGACCAGAGAACCGCATTGTTGAGATAACACCCTATAAAATCAAGGATCCTCGCATGGCAAACCCTGATGGCGCAACTATTGATTCCCTAGATACCGTATCTTTTAACTCTATACCTCATAGATCCTCGATGATCTCCACGGAATACGATCCTAGCACTTCTAACATCATGTTGGACCAATCCATGATCCTTGATTCAAAAGGAGTTAGAAAGGCAGTAAGTACCAACTATAGCTGACTTAAGTAGTAATTATCATACGGTCCCACATTAATACGAACGATATCTCAATAGTGCGATATTCTTGAAATGCGATTAAAAAATGCGACATTAAAAGATTCCCATGTGTGTGCGTGCAATTCCATTGCTTTTTAAAAAATTCCTATGAAACTTTGTAAAAGATCTTTAAAAAAAAGTTCGACAGAGAGTTTGTATAAGAAAAGCTACATAATATTTGATTTCGCGCGCTGGTTTAATCCTTTATTTCCTCGAAGACTTCGTTCAAAAAGGAATTGGACCAACCATCTTTAAAAAAATTAAATATTTAAAACTTTGTATAGAACAAACGTACCTTCAATGGAAACATTCTCATGTATTATTTGTTCACAAAATAAAAAAAACAATTATTCATAAAAACCTTTTCAATAGTATTCTCCTTCTTTCAATCCTCTAACATCCAATTTTATAATAACTGATATACATAATAACATTTTTCTAAAGCAAAGCGCTGCAGTTGGAATCTTTTGATGCGTACGAGCAGAAATATTAGTTGTTCGAACAATTGCTGAAAATTATAAATTATCGTAAATGTATAGCAAATTCGTGTAGGAAGAGATCAATATCAATTGCACATATATTTAAGTTAGAAATGATACTTAAAAAAGTGTATATACCAATGATCCTTAAAACAATTAATTCTAAAAAGAATATAAATGCAAAATACATTACCTGTAATTTTTACAAATAATAAATATTGAATTATTGTTACAGGAGGAAAGGACGCATCATAAACATTATCTCCCTGTAAACCTTAACGTACAATTCCCTATTGCATATGGAACCGACAATACCCCTTATCAACCTCAGAACTATCCTTCGTACCCTTCGTATCCTAGTCCAAATTCTTATATCTACCCAAGTTCTTATGGAAGCTATGAAACCTATGGAACTTCTTATCCAATAAACTACGACTCTTTAGCTTCATCAAATAATGTACCAGCAGTGACTGTAAATGCAGGAGGACCATTTTATAATCCTCGCGAATCTCAACACTCTGACTCATCGTCTCGACCGAATAACGAAGCGCAACCAAGAGCGTTTTCGACTGATATTCAATCAAATCACGAGCAGAAAGAAATTACGCAGACCAACAAGGGAAGCGTCATCAAGGAAGTAATTCCTGAACCCAACGTAGTTACAATAAAATAAAAAGAGAAAAACAGTACAAGTCGAATTTTTAATGTCATAAATATATCTAAATAATATGTAATTAATTTAGTATTATGGCAAATTTGGGGTGCACTCCATTTTGCGGTTATAGAGCTCATAAGCATTATTTGTCCTTATTTATTTTTATAAATAACAAGCGTAAAACTATTGCTTATAGAGTGCGAATATAAAAATTGTATGTACTCTTTATCTCAAAATTACTTTTATTATTTATTGAATGTAAATGTTGTTAAAATATTGCTTTTAATTATCTAATTATTTTCTAATTTTTCTACAATTTTTTAATTCTTTTATATATTAAAAATATTGTTAGTTTAAACAAATATATTTTCTGTGTCAAAATAAAATATTTTTAAAACCACAAATTATGTATATAATTTTGGGCACTCACCGTTTTGAATTCTGCACTCCCATTTTTCTGGTTTTGCTGTATTATATATTTTTCTTTCTGCTTAATTCCCTTTCACCATGATACATATTTATACATGCGATTTGTTTCCGAATTGTATTCTTCAAAATTTTCAGAATTATCGGCATCGAGGTTGAGGATAATTTTACGCACCGTTTTAATTGATATTTTCCCAGACAAATTCACGTTGTTATTAGAATTTATTCTGTAAAATAAAAAATGTTATACATATAATATAGTTGAATTCAATATATTATTTATAAAAACAATCGGTCGCGTTTAGCAGGACATTTTTCTTTAATTATATTATTTTTAAAACCGCAATTGAAAGTTTTTTCACGGGATTATACTTTTAGATCTAGATAAATAGTCTTGTTCCAGAAAGACAACTGTAAATTAGCAATTGTAAAATAATATATTTTGTTAAATGCGACCAATTTTATAAATCTATCCATCATAATTTTGTCTTTCTTTTAATATCCTAATTTATTACCTAATTTATTACCATCCTAATTTATTAAGATTTGTACAGAAACTGAATAAATATTATATATAATATAAAGACAAATATAAATACATAAAAACTAATATTCTTATAATTGAATTTAACATATTTAACATATTAAATTTTATTTTATTGACATCACTATCGAAATTTTTGAAACTTATGAATGACATTATTCACTATTTCTTCTAAATTGATCGTTCCCAATTGCTGGAAACATCATTTGTTTGTTGTTGGACTATAACGATGGCACACGAAAGAAAACTTAATTGTTACAGGTTCGCAAACAACATCCAAATTAACTGTAAAAAATTAGTTGTAATTAATTATAAATTCTAGTAAAAAAAATTTTAAATACATGCTTAAAATATCCAAGACATAAGCAACCATCTTATTAAGATTTCCATGGTTAAATACGGAATATATTCCAGACAAAAAATGTTCCGCAAAAAAAGATTTTTACTGCTCAAATCAGTATCAGTATAGCCTCCAACTGTGAAATGTTTAATGATATAATTATTAAAATAAATATAGCTGGAAATATTAAAAAACATTCATTTCGTCTTCAATAAATTTCTGTAGAAACAAAATAATTTTAATTTAATTTAAATAAAAAATTATTACACAATGTATACAAAATTTTATATATTGATATCTCAAATAATGTTTACAAAATATGCGACTTATGCAATAAATTTTGCTATATAATATGAAATTTCAACTAATTGCACTAACGAAGCGATAAACTGACTACTTCACCAAGTTTACCCATATTTATATATCTAGTGTATTTATTTTAAAATAGTTCTTAACATTTTTTATCTTTTCTTCATAAACATATAAAAAAATTTAATTTTTTAAAGATAGTTATACAATAGATTTCTTAATAAAATACATTTGATTTTATGTTTATATGTATATCATTCGTATAAATAAAATTAATTATTTTGTACACATAATTCTCTTTCTATAATTGTAAATAATTCTTTTTTATCAACAGCATCAACGGTATCAATTAAGTATCTTTGTGTATAATTGATTTTTCCATTTAGCTATTATCACGTGATTGATTTTGCGCAGGTTCAATTATACCCTTGTCTGCTGATAATATAGCAGAAAATTCATCTTTTAAAGGCCGAAAATCTTGTGGTATTTCTTCAAGGATACTAGTTTTATATGGCACGAAAGGAGTTTGCGTATCAAGCTGAAGCTGAGCACGAGGTTCTTGTTGAGGAGTTGCTTCCTGCTGCTGATCACATTTAACAAGAGTGCATAGTTTGTGAAACGCCAAAGATGTCATTCTTGCCATCAAGATTGTTAGAAGCTGTACAGGACCAGGTGTTCAAAATTAACTGACCATGGAGCTATAGTTGCCCCTGGTCTTGGTTACATATTACTTAATAAAATATTTTTTAATTCTCTTTTATATAATAAAACCTACATAGAGCACATAATATCATAGTGATATATCACAGCAACATCATTTTTCCATTCCAATATTATAATAAAATTCAGCAGAAATGTCACTGAAATATTACTGAGATGTCACAGTAATATTACAATGTATCACTTAAGTATCATTTTAATTAATAATCATTTTAATATTAGTAAATGTACCAGTTAGTGGGCAGTTAGTAGATATGAATCAATTCGTTAGACAAAGTGGTACAAAATTGTAAATATTAAACTTTTAATGATATGTACAATATTAAATAATATTTATTATTATTATAAATAATAAATTTATTGTTTATAAAAATTTAATTACAAATTAATTTAGAATCGTACCATCAAAAGCTTTATATATTTGAAATGTTTCATCATTTTGTCCAACAATTGGTTCATATCCATTAACTAGTACATTTATCTTATGTAATATTTTTATGAATTACGATATTCATATAATGTTTATATTTATGTAATATTTATTGAGAAGAATTAAATTATTTCATATAATATTACATAATTGGAAAATAATACTGATTGTCAATACAATAACTATTACACAACATTATAATAAAGTAAAAGAGTAATAATAAGCTAAATATTATATAAATTATAAAATTATATGTGTATAATTATGTGATATCTTAAATGATGTCTTAACGACATCTCTAACGTTAATAAGACATGATAAAAACATTATTAATTAAAATGTCACTCTGTTATTTAAGGCATTATAATATTGCTGTAATATTACTGTGATATTTTAATGGTGGTTATTAACATGTAATATATCAATAATATTTCTATGATATTATATTTTTAATATGTAATATTTGTGTGATATATTGCAATATTACTACGACATTACTATATATTACGTACTATATTATATTATATTAGAATTATTTGAAATATAGACTAAGATTTAAAGAAACAGAGTTTCAAAAACAATTATGATCAATGAAATTCTATATACTTACAATGATTAAATTTGCAGCTTGCCGTAATAAAAATATAGTTGTAGGATATATTAGAATAATTGTTATTTCCATCAAACGTGAAACGGCAGCAACGGAAAATAGGATACCAGACAACATCAACAGAATTATAAGTTGGAAAAGTCCAATTAGTATCTATAATAAAAATATTTATTAAATCATCAGAATTAAAACAAGATTAAGTTACTCAAATTTTACAATCATAAAATTTGTAAATTTGTCGTTTGTATAAAAATTATATTAAAATCATAAAATTACATAATGTAAAATTCTTAAATATTAATTAATAAATATAAAATAATTAATACAATTCTTACACAAATGATCCACATTGCTGATGCGTTTCTTCTTTTCACAAACTATTTGCAGCCTTGTCAATCGCAAATTGTTTCGCAATAAAATTGATCAAGATTCTTGTTTGTAATAATTCATTGTATTTAACGAACTGCATTTCTTATATTGACTTCAGTCAACGAGAGAATTTAAAACTCTGAGAAATTTTTACAGTTCGACATGACAGAGATGTGAAATTTAATTTATATCTATTAATTCCACTAAGAAAACCCAACTTCATATTGCATCATGTTACAAACCAAAAATCAAACGACAGACAAATTATAAAAAAAAATAGAAAATTGTGTGTATGTACATACAAAAATAAATAAAGTAATTAAAATAAAGTTTCCTGCTGGATTGCTAACTGAATTAGAATCTTGCCATTGTATTGGCTGCGGTGCTGATAGTGCCAGTATTGTAACCAATCCGATAACAAGAATCTGATCCAGCTAGCAATCCAGCGGAAAAACATGCTTTGTGTGCCGCTAGCTTTAAAGCTACGTAGATTTAAAACAGCTGGGGGTCGATTCTGTATCTCGAAACAAAGTGAAAATTACAAAAGTGAGCAAATTTACTAGGTATTGACCAATGAAATTATAAATGTTCCAGTAAATCGCTCACATTTGCAATTTTCACCTTGTTTCAAGATACAGAATCAATCCCCTATTGTAGATCCGGATTAATGCCCATTTCCATCAATGTAAATTAACGTTAATCTCGATTCAATTTACTCTACGTTTTTTTTCTAATTTTAAAAATTAAAAAAAGATGAACAGTAAATTAAACCGAGATTAAAGTTAATCTACTATATTAGCTGTGTTCGGTAATAGCAAATCTGAGGTGTCGGAGTGCTCTTATATTAGCTGCGTTCGGCAATGCAAATCTGATGGGCCTTCTACAATAAAGCCAGCGGCACACGGTGCTTGTTTTCCTGCTGGATTGCTAGCTAGATCAGATTCTTGCCATTGGATTGGCTGCGATATTGGCACTTTCAGCACCGCAGCCAATACGGTGGCAAGATTCTAATCCAGCTAGCAATCCAGCAGGAAAACAAGCACCGTGTGCCGTAGGCTTAAGAAACTAAAAATTGACGACTGTGATTGGTCCATTTCTAGCTTATGACTTATGATTTGCTTATTGTAGAAGGCCCATGAGGCATCAGAGATTCAGAGTGCTCTTTTTCTATAGTGCACGTGACATATGCTATAATATAAGAGCACTCCGACACCTCAGATTTGCTATTACCGAACGCAGCAATTGTAGCATATGTCACGTGCACTATAGAAAAAGAGCACTCCGATGTCTCAGATTTGCATTGCCGAACGCAGCTATTGGTGGAAACGGACATAAAAGTTACATGATCGATACTCGGAACTTGGAGTAGAATAAGAACAGACTTACAATTATACAGTTAACGTTTTGGAACGCATTTCTGCACGGCTGATGCAGGCTGATGGCCGTCGTGACTTCGTTTGGTTTACGTTACGATAGTGCCACGTATTTATGTCATTTGTGTCTTTCATAAAGTCACACGATCGACAATTATTTTAATGTCTTTTTCTTGTTTATTTCGAGTGACCTAAGAAGCTCTCTCGGCAGATATGGGGTCCTCTCACAGCGTGGAGATACCGGGAGGCGGTACAGAAGGTTACCATGTATTGAGGGTAAGATGACCTGTCAAAAGTAACCACCCAAAGTATTGTCTACTTTTAGAAATTTGTTCTACTAATACTACAGAGAACAATAACAAAATTTCTTGGAAGATACACCTGGACAGCACTTACATTTTTATTAATTTAAGTTCTCTCTCTCTCTCTCTGTGTGACCCAATTTGCAAAATTTAACATATTGATTATAAAGAATGTCACTCATGATTTGTTATTGTTTGATTTTATTATGACAAATCGTACATTTCACATTTTCACTATGAGAAAAATTTTGGTTTTAAATGCTCATTGAATGATAGAGTCATTGAAAAATGATTTTAATAAATCTGGAATACCTTTTACAAAATAAAATATTTTGCAAAAAGTATTCCAGATTTATTTAAATTATTTTTCAATGACTATCATTCAATGAGCATTAAAAAACAAAATTTTTCTCATAATCAATGAAAATGTGAAATGTACCATTTATCGTAAGGATGTTAAGTTTTTACTTAGATATTTTTTTTAATCTAAAGCCATAGATTTATTAGAAAGAGAGTCCATATTTTTTAGAATTGAATAACTTAACTGTTGAATTGTATTTTATCTGTACCTTTGTTATCAAAAAATTAACAAGAAATTTTAAAATATAAAATGTAAATATGATTTTTGGCAGGTTCAAGAAGGTTCTCCTGGACAACAAGCAGGACTAGAAGCATTCTTTGATTTTATAGTAGCAATTGGCAATACGCGTCTGGTATGATTATTTTGTGCTATAATAAAGATATATATATATATTTTTTTTATATAATTATAATAAATATATTGTATCCCTATTTTGCTACATATGTTCTTTTTAGGATCAAGATAACGATACTTTGAAGGAACTTCTAAAGGTTGGTGTAAATAAGGAATTAACAATTACAGTGTATAGTAGTAAAACACAGTCTGTAAGGCGGATAAATATTGTTCCGAGTATGACATGGGGTGGACAGGGTTTATTGGGTGTTAGTATACGTTTCTGTTCATTTGAAGGCGCTAATGAGAATGTTTGGCATATACTTGTGAGTATAAAATTCATATATAAATTAATTTTGTATAGTCATATTAATTTTGTATAGCAAATTATAGTGAAAATATTGATATTTGCAGGAAGTACATCCATCATCTCCTGCTGAACTAGCCGGTTTACGGCCATTCACTGATTACATTATCGGAGCAGACTCCATTCTCCATGAAAGCGAGGATTTATTTACTTTAATAGAGGCGCATGAATCACGACCTCTCATCTTGTATGTATATAACACTAAGAATGATTCCTGTAGAGAAGTGACTATCACACCTAATAATACTTGGGGTGGAGAAGGAAGGTACACAGTTTTTCATACAGTAGAGCCAATAATTGAGATATTGTAAATAGTGCAAATAGATATTAAATTTTTCTGTACTTATGTAATATAGTTTGGGATGTGGAATTGGATATGGATACTTACACAGAATACCAGTCAGATGCGTACCGAAGCAGATATCTGCTAATTTATATGTGGTAAAAAGTTGATATTAATAAATATTTTTGTATTGACACTTGAATAGTTAAAAAAAAATGTGCATGATTAACAACATTATGAAAGATAGTAGCTTTATAAACTCCTCAAAGATTGTTATATTACTAAATACACTTACACATACTATAAATGTTCTCATTTCAGAATACTGTAATGCAAACACAACCAGCAGTGACTGCTAATGTTACTGTGGCAGAAATAAATCCAATTGTTAGTACAACATCCGAATTAATTCCACCAAATTCCACCGTTCCGATGGATAGCTCGATAAAAAATTTAAAAAGTGAACAGGAAGCTATATCTGTTCAAAGTATACCTGGACCAAGTATGCAAATGCAACCAGCAAATCAAGTCAATTTCACTGGTCCTGTTGACAGCTATTCACCCGCCAGTTCGGGACCTCATATGTTTCCAAATCAATCCACTAGTTTTACACCCGGTATGTACAGATTTTATGTAATTTTTAAATATATTATATATATACTTTTTGTATTGTTCAATTATAAATTAAAAAATTTTTAATTTTTGAAAATTAATAAACTGTTATTTATAGATGATCCTTTTCAAAACGTTAATTTGTAATAAATTACTAAATATTTCTTATGTTTCTATTACAAATTTTATTAAACATCAAAGTTTTTATATTTTTAGCAAAAAAAAAAGAGACAGATTTTATAGTATTTTATAATGCTTATGAATTTTCATAACATGAAATTATTTAAATCGTTGCTAATTTATCTACTTAATTGTTTAGGCACTTATCCAATAACTCCAAACATTCCTGGCATGCCAACTGTTGCGGGGTTACCACCAAACGTTACCAATTCTTATGAAGTTTCAATTGCACTACCTGGATCAATTAATACCTCAGGACAACAAAGAGAGCAGAATTTTGGTCATAACACAACCACAATCAATATCCCAATATTGCCGAGAGAGCAAAGTCCTATTCCTAGTACAAACACAACTGCTGGCTTTAATATAGCTCAGTCTCACGTTGTAACAACACCTATCTCACTGCCAGGAATGCCACCTATCACAGTCACCGCCTCTCTCCCACAAGACACTTCCTTTTATCCATCTGTTCTTCAACAGCAAAATCAATTACCACCCAGTATCAACACTACTACCGTTGCTCCAACGATAACATTGCCAACATCCACACAGTAAAGAATTAATGGGCACATTCAGCGGACTCAACAATTGAGTGAGCGCTCGCTGTTATTGATGTATTCTTCCAGATCTAAAATTCTGATTGGATGATCTAAAAGAATACACCAATAACAGCGAGCGCTCACTCAACTGTTGAATCTGCTGAACGCGCCCAATGTTCTTTAAAATAAATGGAAGATCTAATTTTCACTTTAATAAAGTATACTATTAAGCATACCAGTTAAATAAAATTGAATCTTTTGTCCATTGTAAACTGTTAGAGACAAGAGAAAATGAGCTAGTAAAACTAAGATGGTATGTATAATTAGTTCTTAGTGAACATTTTATTATTTATATGTATACATATATATGTTAAATATATATTTGAATGTATATACATGTATATATATATATACATAAACTTTTGTTCACCAAGGAAAGATTATAAATGCCTTCCTAAGTTTTATTTCTTTTCATAAATATTGAGAATGTGATGTGCATAATACATTTTTAATATGCACTAAACAGAATAATCATGTAATATTGTACATAAATAAAATAATCGCAAAATCATAGTTATACTATATTATATCATTAAAAAATTATATTAATTTTGTGTATATTACCTATAATTTTAAAATTATAAAAATTAGTACATGTATTAATATAAAAACAATATATTTATGTATCTATAAAATTTTGTTTTAAAGACTACAAAACTGAGGTCAGTTTTTTTTTCCAAATTGAAATGGATAAAGAATATCAGTCTACACAAAAGCTGTGTTTATTACATGTTACTTTCAATTAATATAACAAGTACTAGTGGATAGATAGGTAGTAACAGCACTCAAAATTTAATTGTTTTTAAATAATAATCTCTGTATCACCTAATTCTTCGTCAGTTGGTAATATTATCTTTGATGGATCAATATAATCGGGACTAATGGGAAGAAGTCCATGTTCCTCTCTATAACGGAGTCGCAGGTAAGCTTCTCTTTGTGCCCAGTCTTTGCCTCTGACATCAGGTAAATAGGCCACGACGGCGAATCCAACTACAAAGACTATGCTTATACAGACAAACATGGTCTGGTGTAAGGCATGAATATCTTCAGCTTCGTCCTTTTCACTGAAGCCGTAACTCATCCATTTCCTCTTAACAGGCTTCGTCTCTTCCTTGATCCCGTCGTAACGGCACGGTGTCGTCGCTATATTACGATATATCGTTGTCTCCTTGGGCGACATTAGAGTTAAGCCCCGGCGCAAACTTAGCATGCAATTTCTACGGAATAACGCTGTCATCGTTTAGTAAGTACTCTTGCGTTCTTCTGCTATACAATGATCAGCGACGATTGTCACGAGGAATTCGTGCGAGTCTCAATCACGTTACGTAAATACCAAGTGAACTGCGTGTATTGAATCCACTATCCAGAGAGAAGAAAATTAGATATTTTATATATACATATATATATATATATATATATAATTCCTTCAAATATATTCGTGTACACTCATCAGTTAAAAGGTTGCAATATTTTCTCTTCGATAGGTTTTGGAATGTACAGAATGCAATCTGTTCACTGAGCGATTAAAGGACGCAACATATGCATCGTCTACAATACATGGAGTAAGAAGTAACAGTAAGAAATTGACCAATTACAGTCGAATGTGAGAAGAATAATCAATTGTTATTGGTCAATTTCTTACTCCGTGTATTGTAGAACACGCTTTAGGGCGGGTTCATACCTTGACAGAAAAACGGAAGAGCAGTAGTTAATCAAAACTCGCGCTCGTAGCAAGTAGTATAGGGGCCGATTGTTCCATCTTTTGGTAAAGTTTACCTGTCTGCAGGTAAGTAGCTAACAGAAAGTCGACTACCAGCGCAAGTTCTGATCGCTGCTCTTCCGCTTTTCGCTTTTCCGTCAAGGTGTGAACCCGGCCTGAAGGATCCGGACTTACGCAATTTCCACATTCCATAGTGCGGAGCGTCTCTATAGTATCTCGTCAGTGATCTAATAGCGTTTTCTCTTGATTGCACCAGTGCAACACTCAGCTGAACTTTTGCACTAGTTCATCTTTCATTCTTTTCTCTCCAGGAGAAGGGAAAAGAAAAAAAGATGAACTGGTGCAATCACCCTACACTGTTGCAGCCAAGAGAAAACGCTATAAGCCACTAGATTGTGCCACTAGAACGCGGATTCAAATTTTTAACGTTATGAAGTGTTACGAAGCGTAACGTTGTGAGATATCGCATAATCGCATTTTACAATTATTATTTTAATAATATTGAAGAGTCGAGAAGAAGATTTTGTGTTTTTTTTTTCAAGTCATAAACGATCGTAGAAAACGTAAAAAAAAGGTGAAAGAAAAAAGAGAGAAAAAAGAACGTAAGTAAATCATGTTCGCATTAATTTTTTTAGGTAATTATTTAGAATTACTTTCTCAGCTCAAATTTTAATAAAAAGATACTCATTTGATACGTTTTTTTCACTCAGTATGAAACAAGTTATTTAGCATTAAAGTTCGAGACTTTAGAATTTAAGATATCTGTCATACTGACTAAAAATTCAAAAATTTTAATTTTAATTACCGAATTAAATAATACATCATGAAACATTTGTAATATATTAAAAAATTTACAGGAATTTAGATGACAGCAACGTCGTTGTTTATGTCACAGCGTTTATTTTAATAAGAAATGTTAGGTTTAAACTTTTTGATTCATATACAAAAATTAAAAAGGTATTATAATTTTAAATGACAAGCTATTCTTTGTTCCTAAACAAATCCTCTGCTTTAAAAACACAAATTTTCGTATATTATTTTTCAGTTTTTAAAGCAATAAAATTTTTGTTTTTCAAAGTGATGAGTTTGTGTAATTAAAGCAGAAAAATTGATAAAGCTGGAAGGAGATCAAAATATCGGCACGCGATTGAGTGACTTATACATACGTAGTAAATAAAATTCACACATTACTTTAGCAACCAAAATCCTGCTTGACCGTCATTAGGCCTTTATTTACTTATGTTTGAATACCAACAGTCCTACAAATATTGTAATTTCAAAATATTGTTTTGGCTTATAGTCCTTGTTATTAATATTTATTATTACAGAGCCATATTATTTTTATACTTTTAAGACACGCGGGCGAGATAAAGCATTTTTTTTATAAAGCAAAAATTATTTATTATTTTTAAAAATTAATTGATGTTGAAGTATGTATACGTAACACTGTATCAAGTTAATATGACAAATATCTTAACCTCTAAAGTTTCAAACTTCAATGCTTAATAACTTATTTCATGAGGCAGATTGCCTCTTTTTTCTATCAATTCTTTTCGTTTTGAGTAAAACCGTAAAAAATAAGTATACTTTTATTAAAATTTGAACTGTGAGGAAGTGATCCTAAATAATTACCTTTTTGAAAATATTTAGAAGTTTGACACTGAAAAAGCAATTTCTTTTTAGGTAAATCTATTGTAATTAATAAAGAACATATATATATGATGTTTTGCATTACTTTTATATTTTATCCATATTATACTGATTATCTTGTTATTTTTTTCCTAAAATTAATCAATTTGCAAACAGTTGATCACTCATCATGGATGTATCTATTGAAAAAATTCATCGTACTTTATTGGATGCTGCATTACCATCGACTATTAAAGATCTAAAAAATCCAACAGAAGATTATGCTGTGAATTTATTAACAACATTTTTAACACGTTTTGGTATCAATATGAACTTGATTGATCAGGTAAAATTTCAAATCTTTTACATATGTATTAGTCATCACTATACAATCTAAACATAATTAAAGAATAAGATATCAATTTTTTTGTTTTTATGTATCTTATAATGAAATTTTGCAGCCAATTCCAGAACAACTTGGAGCTATGACTTATTATGAAGATTCTGATGTTATAAATCTTATAAATTTATATGTAGTTGTGGCACAGATATCTGATAAGATATTTTTACATGATTTGTGTCTTACTGATATTACTAGTCCAGGTACATATAAACATCTTACTTTAAAATCTTTTATAAGAGAACTACTATATTAATAGCGCAATATTACCAGGGATAGAAACTGTAATTTTTTTTTATTATTATTTATTACTTTCTAGAATAACAATTTGGTAATAACATTTATGACAGTAACAATAATTAACTAAAAGCTAAGATTATGAAAATCATTTTTCAAAAGTAACTTGTCACTATTACGTGTTATTTATTTTAAAAGATAATTTATTTATAATGTATCAACTCATTACTTTAACTTATTACAAGTAATGGGTTATTTCTTTCAATAAACAATCCATGATAGTAACAATTTACTTTTTAAAAGTAATTTTTTCCTAACATTAGTTTTTAGTTTGTTCATAAGACAAAAATTGCAACGTCATTATCAAATTGTTATATTATAAAAAGTAACAATAAAAGTAATGTCATTATTCATTATCAATCCCTGAATAATACTCATATTATAAACGAATTTTATAGGACAAAAGCGACTTAGAAAACAAGCAAAATTTCTATCTAACTTTGTATTGTACACAATACATAAAAAATCAGGATGTAATGACAGGATGGATCAAATTCAGACTATATCTAAACTACTAGAAGATTTGAAAGAAAGAAAGACTCATATTTCAGAATCTATTAATAATAAAGTTATGCACAAAGCAAAGCAATTATCCATGATAGAAAAGGTTAAAAAATATTAATAGTTATGAAGTACCTATATATATTAGGTTTTAATTGACTTTTCAAATCTGTAGTAAGAAGACAAATATTAAATATATTATACATTTCGATAAATATTAAACAATAAATATATATTAAGATTGAATATATTTTTAGTTAGAAAATGACATAGAACATATACAGTCAATAACGGAGAAAATCAATAAAAACGAGATTGAATTTGAAATAATGAAGAGTAACGTTGATAAAGAAAATCAAAAAGCTAAGGAACTTTGTGGTTCTGTTAAGACGACAGCGGGAAAAGTAAATATTTTTATATGAATCTTGAGTTTTAAAATAATTGTAACACTTTTATTTCTGTATAATAAAATTAATAAATTTCATGATGTATACTATAATTTTTAGCTGTCCAAGATGATAACTGAAGTACAGTCAGAAGTTGTACATTCACCGAGAGAGTATCAATCTCGTTTAGACGAAATTGAAAAACAACATAAGTTAAAAGAAGAAGAACGTAGTATAATGCAAGAAGCTATTCAGGAAAAGAAACAGTCCATAAAACTAATTGAAGAAAAGTTAAATTTTGTCCAAAAAATAAGTGACGACTTTCATACATTAGCAGATGTATATAAAGAACAAAAGTATTTTTTTTATTTATATTCTAAATTTTATATTTTCAGACAGTTATTAATAAGGGTATATATTATATTTTTTTAATCATTTTTGATATAGAAACAAGAAAATAAAAAGAAACAATATTATAAAAGAAATTGATTCATCAATTAATATATGGAATGAATCAAAGACTAAATTAGCAATGCATAAAGATAAAGTAGATACTGAAAAGGATGAATTACAAACATACAATGAGGCAGATGCTTCACTGTGCAATCTGTATAGCCAATTATTGAGGTAATATTATATATATATTTTTTTAAATTAAAATACTTTAGAGGTTTATTTTTTTACATATAATTTTTTTAAATATGTTTTTATATATAGTATGGCTCAATAAATTTAAAACTAATAAAGAGCTCTAGGGCTACGAGCCAATGAATTCTTAAAAATCTTCAATTTATTTTAATATATTGCGAAGAATATCACGTAATTTTGGCGTTTCGTCCCGGCTTCCACTACTGAACTCATCAGTAAGGTATTGTAGTGGAAACCTACCTTAAACGCCTGGAAAAGTTATTAATCGAGAATCTATTAAAGAAATATAAGCATGTCAAAGCACTTTCGAGAATTTGCGTATATCGATAGACCTGACGACGGGTCGACGACGTAGTAATATTCTTCGCAATATTTATCCAATGTAATATATGTATTCTTTATAATTTAATGTATTTTTTATAATTTTTTAATTTATTATACTCTTTGGTAAAAAAAATATTAAATTAAATAATTAAAATTCAATGATTTTTGTAGTGAAAAAAAGATAGAAAAAACTAAATTAGATAAAGCTCAAAATTGCTGGAATGAAAAATGTTTGGAAAAGAATAAATTACAAGCAGATATTAAAAAAAGAGAGGAAGAAACTACAACTTTTATCAACAGTTGTCAAGAAAGTTATAATAATGAAATTGCTAATGTGAGTTATTTGATGATTATATATATATATAATAATATAAACTACATTATATATAATCTGTTTCAGGAACTTGAATTACGGAAAGCTTGGGGAGAAGAATAATTGTGGAATAATGTTTGCTCTTATTTTTTTTTGTTTTAGATTGTAATATAAAATATCAATACAAATTTTAAGATAAAATATAATTTATGTATGTTTTAAAGAAATATTTTATATATAATAAACACAAAAATTTAGGAACATTTAATTTTTTTAAAATATAGGTAAAATACAGGCAGTTGCAACTTCGTAAAAATTAACAAAATTTTAATAAAAAAAAGATTTTAAGCTTGTAATCAACTTTTAAATGGTTATTATTTTTCTCATTTTAATCATTTTAAAAAAAATACGAAATAAGGAAACTTTATCTCAAATTGAGGCTTATTACATCAGAAAAAAAGTATGCTAAAATTTTGACTTCCTGTAATGTAAAAACTTAAAATTTTCCTTACGAAATATTTTTTGAAAGTGATTTTAAGGTTTTTTATTATTGAATATATCACGGATTAAAAGAGGAAAAAAGTAATTGTTATACAAAGATTATAGTTTAATCGGTACAGACGACTTTGTAAAAAATAAAAATTAGCTATTTTTTTATTTTTCATTTTTATTCAGAAAACGATTGTGTAGAACAAAAATTTGTTCTTTACGTGTGTGAGAGAGAATACGGAACTCTCTTCTGTGTACTGCATCTATGGTCGACATTATATCCCAATTCCCATTGCAAATACTACACATTTAGGAGAATTCCGTTTGCCTACATTCCCGATTGCACAACCACTCACATTGGGCCGATGCGATGCCTAGCAGTGCCTTGATGCCTTCTAGTCCTAAATATCAGAGAAGCGCAACTGGCTTAAGTCAGTATCGCAAAACTACTACTAAGAAAAGCACTAAAAATGGCATCGTTTGCATAGAGTCCTAGATATCAGAGAAGCGCAACTGGCTTAAGTCAGTATCGCAAAACTACTACTAAGAAAAGCACTAAAAATGGCATCGTTTGCAGACGAACTATGAAATCCACCAATCGTCTATTAGACAGCCATTTTTAGTACCATTGAATGAATGTCATGATTGGCTGACAGTCAAAGTATCTAGTAACACCCAATGAATCGAATTTCACAGAATCGACTGGCAATTCGATTTTTGAATGTGAAAAAGGATCGATTCTCGATGTATATTGGCCTGGTTTACTTCGTGCACTTGATACGCGTACTAACTAGTTACTTTCTATTAAATTATCTTAATTTCAGCAATGTATTTAAAGAATGATGTATAAAATTGATACAATACTCATCAAAATGTTTAACTAAATACGTTTATTGTGTATACATTTACATATATCGCTGAAATTAAGATAATTTAATAGAAAGTAACCAGTTAGTACGCGTATCAAGTGCACGATGTAAAGCCATTGAATAGAATTTGGCATCACTGTTATCTTGTGTGTATGGTTACAGTGTATACGGTGGCTCCCGCACGAACGAACGAGGGAAACTGTCTAACAGCGTTGTCGAGATCGCCGTTTCTTGTCGAGAATTCGTCATTTATGTCTTATCGAGACAATCAGAGGAAACTAGGCGTTTAATCGGATATAAGGACGCAGCGCAGCTTAGTCGAGTGAGTAACCTTCGACATCGTTTACGCTGTTACCGCAACCACAGCTATCGCTAAGAGTGACTTGCGCGCGCGAATTCGCATTATAACCACAAATCGGAATATGTGTTAAATCGATCGTTGAATTCGTCGGGGACCCGGCGGCAATTGATCGTGAGATTGTGAGTGAGTACCGATTTGCGGAGAGTCGAAGGACGGCGATCCATCGACTCGATCGTATTTCTCTGTCAATCGACATTAGATCGCGTTGCGTGAAATAAATATGGAGGCAGTATGTATAAGGATATGAATGTGTGTAAGCATGTGCGTATGTGTGCGTATGTTTGACGCTTTGACGGATGAGAAAACACAAAACTTTACCTATCATGTGCAATGACATTCTATATTTAGCATATAATAAGAAGTAACGAATACTGATGGATCATACATACATACACGCGCGCGCGCACGCGTATGTATGTGCGTATGAACAAATATATAATCTAATAATAACAAAAGCTACACTGATAAAGTATGTATAAAAAAATATTGACGTAACTTTTAACATTTTTTTTATTAATATTTTATAGTTATATTATACGATTTTTAATACATGAATATACGAGTTAAATATATGTATGACTAGTGTTTTCTTTAATTCTTGTTTTAGTTAAATTATCTCTATTATATATAAATTATAGTTATTAAATTATGTTATATAATAGTTTTTTGTGTTATTACTTAGGTATGAGACGTAAGAGTGAAAGAAACAAAACGAAGGGATCTCCAGAGAAGAAAGTTGAGAAACCAACAAGAAAGTCAACGCGTAGGCGTGGCAAGAGATCACCTTCTACTTCATCTGAGCAAGACCCTTTTATCGAGGATGTGGCTAAAAGTGCCATTCAACTTAAGGAGATTGAAAAAGAGACAAGTGTACAAACGCGTCTGCAGAGCAAGGAATTAGAGCAAATACCCGTAAATAAGCAAGAGGAAAAAGTTTCTTCTACTGATGTAGACATAAAGGTGGATTCACCTGAAGACGAAGAGGACAATGGTGGCTCGGTGTGGAAAGTAGCTAGAGCGGATGCATCACCTGGTGAGATACAGAAGCTGAAATTATGCAGGCAGCGCAACACATCAGAACCATCATTAGATGCACCACCATCGAGTAGGAAAAGCGTCAAGTCAAGTAGCAAGTGGCAAGAAAGTGGTGAGGGCGTTGCAGAGGAGGCTGACTCGGCGGATGAGCAACTGGTTTCTTGTACAAGAACGCTCAGTAGCACTGAACAGCCGAACGATCCCTCCTCTTCATACCCAGGTCAGGACTCCAACGAAGAGGTAAGTGATAGCAAGGAGATCCTGCCTGAAACCACTTCAGCCAACTTGTTGTCTGATGATAAACCAAACATAGATCAGCATGGCGAATCAAATGAGGCAAATTGCACTGCCCAAATAGTTGATATCGAACCTGGTAAGCCGGGTAGCATGACATCGTCTCCAGTACCAGCTCCGAGCGCAAACAGTGAGGAAATTGTCACCACTATCATCGTTAAGGAAGATAAGCCTGTGGAAAACATCAGTGAAAAGCCAACGGAGACATTTGTCAAAGAGACTAATGTGGAAAATATGAAAAATGTTCGAAAAGATATGAATAGTGATGATGAGGAGGAAGAGGAGGAGGAGGAGGGGGAGGAGGATAAAGCAAAAACGAATCGTCCGGTAGACTCATCATCTGATTCAAATGACGAAATGTGTTCTAAAAGAAGTAGAACAAGTAGTGATCGAACGTCGTCACATGCGATTCGTAGAAAACATCGAAACAAATATAGAGATTCGTCTAATTCAGATACACCTGATTCTGAAGATGAACCTATTGACAGGAAGATCTCTGAATCTTATGTGGAGGAGGAAGAAGAAGAGCAGCAAAAGAGAAAGCCAAGTACAGAATATTTGCAAGAAAATGATAAACAACAATCAGTGTCGCCGGAAAGAACAAATTCTCATTCAAATAATATAGAAAAAATAGAGATCGACGAGCACAGTGAAACTGTTGAAAATAAATTGGAAAAAAATCCAACTGAAAAATTAGAACAGTCTACACCAGCTAACACACAGGTGATCACTCACAAGCCTGTTAAAGTCAACTTGAAAAGATCATTGTAAGTATAAATGTTCTTGTGCAATGAATATCTTTTTTTGATAAGGTTTTGTTTGTAAAAGAAAAATATATATATATATATATATACACACGTTATTGAAGATTTTTAATATATCAGTTATATTTGCAAAGTGATTCAGTTATTTTAAAATGTATAGTGAATTAAAATAAAATTAATAATAAAAATATCTAAGATTGAATAATTTAATTATATTTTTATATATTTTCAGCTCAACAAGAATATTATCTGAAAAGAATGAAACAAAAAGAGACGATGCTGATGCAAGCATCAATGAGTCCAGTAGTCAAAATAAGGTATAGGAATACATAATATATTCTCTGCTAGAATTAGAAGGATATTTATATTTTTTCATTTTGCATTATATTCGAATAATGTGTCTTTTAGGAAAATGGTAATGAACAAGAACCAAAATGTGTGCCGAGGAAACGTCGATGGGGAACCGCACTTTCTACGGATACCGCACCCTCGTTTTCTATCTCTACCGATTCGCTTAAGGTTTTATTCTATTTACACATAGATATATAATGTATATGTATCATTTAATTCTTGAACATCAAAATTCATAAAATAATGATGTGATAGGCATTGGTGCCAGGTGCAAAGCCATTATCTATCAACGAAGTTCGTCTTTCAAAAGACGATGATGAGGACAGAGATCGACATAGAAATAACGATAAACGGCACAATTCTAATGATATTACATATGATAAGGCAACAGATGAAAACTTGCAAAAAAATGGCGCTGCTAAAAAGGGCAATGGAAAAGTAGATAATCACATCGGTAAATGTACATATAATCTATTAGATTATTTAAAACGAATACCTTTTTATGTAATTATTAAATAATCTTGTAATTCCTCTTTCATATCTTTTACGATATTCTTATTATTTCTAATATAGTGACAAGGCGAAAGATATCAATAGTGAAGGAAATACCGCACATAAAATCGCCAAGTCCACCAACATCTAAACCTACCAATATCCTTTTGATCAAGAATCTTGTTCGCCCTTTCACACTAAATCAGATCAAAGAACTTCTCTCACGTACTGGCACCATCGTAGAGAACGGATTCTGGATGGATCGGATTAAGTCTAAATGCATTGTTGAAGTACGATTATATAAATTTACAATATTATATTTTACAAAATTTGAGTCTTGAGTTTCACGATTATATTAATATTATAGTATTCTAATGAGGATCAGGCTTTTGAGACAAGGCAGGCACTTCACGGGATTTCTTGGCCTATGTCTAATCCAAAAAAGCTCCATGTAGAATATGCTACGAAGGAGGATATGGAGACTGCTCGGGAATTGTCCAAGGAACAACCGGTTGCTCGCAAAACTGAGCCACTCACGTCGGATTTGTGGCAACAAGATTGGAGTCGTGATGAAAAGACTAATACTAAAGTAAAAATCTGCGTGTTTTCTTATAGACCATTTGAATATTTTCGATCACCTTAATGAGATATATCTACGTTTTAGGTGACCGTGGTGAGGGAGTGGGATTTAGGTAAAGAGGACGGCCAGCAACATATTAGGGAGAAAGAGCGTGAAAAGAAGGAGCATGATAAAAAACGACGAGTGAGGAGTCGCAGCCCTATATTGGACGCACATTTATCGGCACCGGCTCGCAAATTCAAGAAGAAAGAGGATGATCCGCCACCGGCAAAGCTTTTGGATGATCTCTTTAGGAAGACAAAGGCGACACCTTGCATATATTGGTTGCCGCTTACGAATGAACAGGTAGGTGAATTTAGAGCAAGCAAAAGCTGTATACTATTACATCCTCTTGAAACAATATTGAATAGAATTAGGTTTAGATACTTAATATGAAAAATTAGTTAGAAAATTTGTACGTATGTATGCGTCCGATATTAATGTACAGTTTTTGTGTGTGTGTATGTGTGTGCGTGTGTAAAACAAATAAGTAAATTAGTAATAAATGTTTTTATGTGGAAATATTGTAGATAGTCGTGAAGGAGGAGATGCGACGACAACATATGGCGGAACACGCGCGCAGATTAGAAGAGATGAGACGTGCCGATAGAAATAGGGACGGCCGACGTCGACGTAGTCCGAGAAAATAAGAGATCAGCGTATATCATCAGCAACATTAAATGTATTCCTCCCTTCTCCTGATCCCCCCCTTTGTCCTGAATTTAATTTTCCTTTATTCCACTTCACTCAGTTTTTTTAATCTGCAATTTTTTTTCTTGTTATTAATCTATATTGTTTTATTAGAAACACATTTTTTTGGAATCGTTCAAGAATATCTGAAACTTTCGATATTGGTTCATAGTCTGATCTATTTTCTTTTTTTGATTTCCTTTTATGGTATTATCTTTTTGATCTCTCTGATCTCTCTACTTTCCGTAAATTTAATTTCAGATAGTATTTAATGCATGGCTATTAAATATCCTTTCAATTCCTCGTTCCCTTTCCTCGAATATCAGAATTAAACCATACTTCTTACAGGTCAACATTTATTTATCCTACAGAGAGCCAATAACTAGACGTGATAGTGGTTCTGTATTTACGTCAACCGTTCATGGCAGAAAATACCAATTCACTCTCTATGTCATGTTGAAACGCAGCATCCACGGAATAACTTTACAACGTGGGAACCTCTTTGAAGAAAATAGACAAGACACAATGAATGTGGAATAGACTTGGCATTCATGAGAATATCGTTCGTTTCTTCACTCTTTTTTTCTTGTTTTCTCTTTTTTTTACGAATCGAACTCTTGACACAAGTACGATTGAATGAAAAAATGAAATCGTATGACATGGTTTGGATGGAAAACATTGTCGCCCAAAACGCAGAAGTATTTCTATGAAGACGTTATTGTTGGACATTACCGATGGATGGAAGACGAACTTTGTCTCTGAATTAAATACTTTTCGAGGTCTGCCTTGGTTGCGTCGAGCTCAACAATTGTCAACCATTTGACTTTGATAGTGACTACATCAGGAAGCGTCGCGTCAGTGTTAACCATAAATATAAACTAGGACAGGATGAAGACATGTCTGTAAATATAACCAATATTTCGTGGAGTGACATGTAAAATTATTAATAAATCATAAAAATGATAAAAACACGCTACGCTTTTGTGTAAGTGTATACATAGGTACATTTATCGCTTTTTTTTTTTATAATACACCTATTGGAAAATTTGTTACTCACCTATGACGAAAAATTGAGAGCATTGATGAGTAAATACATTTATGCTTAAAATAAATAATCGCCTATGTTATTGTCGTTATTTAATTTGCTGTACAATCATAGAACTGCATTTAATAAATTAGTAAACTAAAGTAATATCGCGCAAAATGCGTAGAATACGATCATTTAAATTTATTGCAAATACGCGCATATTATTTGATTGTTTTATTTATATCAATAATAACATTAGCGCAACGCTAACATTGTAGGTACTTTAGTTTACAAAATTCGAGTACGGAATATGTGCATATAAGTATTAACTATTCACATGTCACGATTACGATTATTTTATTTGATAGTGAATGACATAAAATTTTTTAATAGTCAAATTAGTTCTCATTTTGTACATTTTTATTACTTATGTATGTAATTTATAATTTAAAAAACTGGATGACACGTGCGTTTAGCAATTAGATTGGAATTGTACTTTTATTATTATGCACACGTATGCATGTTTAATATCTTCTGTTTTATTAAAAATTTCTTTCACAATAATGCCAATAATAAATAAACGAATAAACAATGATTAATCTAATCAGAATCGATTACATGTGACATATTAAAAATTAAATCTGAAACATATCATGGTTACATGCCACATGATGCTTTTGCGAAGAAAGTGAAGCATTTTAAGAGTAAAGGAAAAAATAAAACAAGACACTAATGCAGATTTTCGCAGACATCTAAAACATACATCGTTTAATATGTATTATGTATGTTAGACGCTTATTCGAGAAAATACTTTTTGAAGAATGTCAGATAGTCGATAACGATATCGACATTCATTCTTCGGAAACTGTAAACCTTTTTCGCGTTAATAAAATAAACTATTTATTATGTATGATGATACTTGTAACGATGTATCTCAACAATAACGACGTGAAGATGCGCTATTATTTGCTTATTATTATCGTACAGATTTTTCTCCTTTATCTTTTTAACGCGGGTTTACACATTATCGATTATCGCTCATTCTCATTGCGATCTGTTTCACTCATACTACATTCATCATACAAGCATTGTTCTTCATCAGTTTTATTTAATCAACCTTCACAACACTATAAATCTTGCGCACAAACCAAAAACAGGCAAAGAAACCAATGGAACCTGAAAGAAAATGAATTTTATTTTTTAAACGTTAATGTTAACTGTGTATGTGGCATTTAAAAAAAATTTAAGCTAAACACGTAATGATTACTCACCTGTCAAAAGGAAGAATAAGTAAACCATAATGAACGTATATCCAAAATACAGGAACGTGGAGGTGGCACCTTCAATTTCTAACTTAGTGACGAAGAAATGTATACAATAGATTAACAAATAGACAGCAGTAAAGCCAGATGTAAGAAAGCTGCGCCACCACCAGTGATAATCCTATAAAGAAATTTATTAATATCACAATGTTTAATATATACACAAAAAATATACAAGTATAATTTTCTGTAAAGCCTGTATTTACCTCGGCGCAAAGATGGAAATAACAGAGCAAAATTGTCGTTTCGGAACACGTGATGACAAGTATAAGAAAGACCAAGAAGAGAAATCCGAACATGTAATACACTTGACTTGACCTAGTAAAAATTACTCATAAGAATGTTTATTAATAAGAATATTAATATGCAATACTTACCAAAGAGAATTAAGTATGAAGAATAATTGAATAAATATGCAACCGAATGGCAGAACACCACCCATGATGACTCCAGGTATTGGTTGTGTGTAAAAATTCTGCTCTGGTATTTGCCGGGGAATTTGATTTGTTCGTACCGGGTGCTCTAAAGCCTATAGCATCATTTCAATTATTTAAAAACACATAGAGTGTAGTAAAATAATATTAATTTATAATTACCCTTTTTTTGAAACCAAAGTAAGCACCAATAAATGTTAACGGTACAGACACTCCAAACCACAGTGCCAGAAGCGCGATTAAAGTGCTAAAAGGTACTGCGGCCGAACTTCCATTTACCCAAAATATCAGATTCATTATGAAGAATAAACTGAATACAATTCTGTCAAAAATGAAATAAATTTTTATATCGCATATTTACGTCAAATATAAATAACACTCTTAAAAACTAATTATTTTTTACAGAATAGAATTGACTATCTTAGAAAATAATAAGTCTTACCCAGGACTAAGCATAGATGTAAGTAACACGTTGGACTTCCATTTCTCTCCCCCAAAACTTTTATATATTCGAGCGGCCGCGTATCCTGCGGTGGTTCCCAGACAAACGTATAACACCATCGCACAAGTCATTAGTGCACCTCTATTAGCAGGCGAAAGGAAACCCAGACAAGCGAATGCTGTAGCATTGAGTTGTTAATATTAAAATTTAAAATAACATTTATAACTTATTGTTCAAAATAAAAGAACATTTAATGAATTTTTAATGTTTAAGTTTAATTAATCTCAAATAAATGGTAATATCAAGTTTAATCTAATAAATCTGATGAGAAAGTGGAAGAGAAAGAAAGAAGGAGAGAGAGAGAATTTTTTACCTAGTGTAACCAGTGTCATGAAGAATACTTGAATACCGGATCCTAGCAAAACTGAAAGCAACATCCCTTTACGTGGAGGGCGGAATACATCGCCGTGTACCAATTTCCATCCAAATTCCTCTTGTGCATCTTCTCCTGATTCTATCTGGAAGTAGGCCTGCGTTATCGCAACACAGACAAACGGGTATCACAATTTTGTAAAAGTGAAGAAAACATTTGGTTACCTTCACCTTTTCATGAAACATATTATTTTACAAAAGCCTGATTTTGCGCTTGCAAATTAATTTTTCAATTAATTATTCAAAGCATTTTTTAAATAAAAGGTTAATACTTAAGTTAGTTTTTTTTTAGTTTCCAAAAAATACGTTAATTAACAGCAACTTAATATTTTAAAACTATTAAATCTTTTAATAATATAAAGGCAATTTTGGATTCGTCATAATTGAATAAAAAAAGATATAAACAGTTATTTTTTATTACTTGGTTCAGTTGTTAATTCGGAAATTATCGGAAATGTTGATAATAATCCATATACTTATCAGTTATACATTTATCTTAAAAGAAAATAGATATAGAAAATATATATAATACAAGCTGTGTTCCAAAATTCACTGCTAACATTATAAAAAGTAGTTTACATTATGTGATTCAGATTTTCAATACTGACAGTTAATTTTAGAACTCAACCACAGAAAATGAATGACATGCAGCTATTAAATTGTAACACAAATGAATAATGTATATAGGTACCTGGTTATATCGTGCAATGTCTTTGTGCAGAGTACGAAGCATTATCATAGCTACCATCCCAGAAAGGAATAGAACGATTATCAGCGAGTTAAGAATACTGAACCACTGAATATTCGAATGTGGCATCGATTCTAAAATGTAATCCCACCTAGATGACCATTTAATCGTGTTATTTTTCTGGAATAATAATAAGTATAATAATAAATTTCAAGATAATAAATACAACAAATGATTAAATTTTACTAATTATCATTAAAATCGATTTATTATTGTACATTCGCAATGACTTACTACAAATTTAACAGAATATGTATATATCACTTGGAACGTCTGTGCAGATGGCTGGTCACTGGATGGTATCTCTAATGGTATTTGACTTTCACAATCAATTTGGCCAGTATGCTTAATACTGTGAGGTACTACTTTTACAGCTATTAAAATCACATTTGTACAATTATTATTTAATATTACTGATAATTTATTAATTTATTTGTGATTATTAAACACTAGCAAAAATAAATTTTAAGTACTTACATATGATACGACCACCGTTTTCTTTAAAGGAAGATCCCCATTCCTCCGAACCACCACTGTGATAAGTTATAGTAAGATTCACGTGATTAAATAAATAGTAAGTTTTTGGTTTGTTGTATGGACCCTAGGAGTATATATAAAGAGACAGATTATTAGATAAATTTATATTTTCATAATTTTGAAATATAATCTGATAATTTCTCCTTACATGTATAGTACAAGTATCTTGCTGAGATCTGGATTCTTTTGAATAACAGCCCATAGGGAAGCCAGTGCTACAATATTGTCGTTCATCTTCTAACTGATAACACCACGTTACTGGCATATTATCTAATAAAAGCAGAATACACTAATAGAACCATTAATAAGTCAAAGTTATTTTAACAGTATTGAAAAGTTGTGTAATTGCAAAATTAAACTTTTCAAGCAATAATTTGTTTATAAAAATTTAACTAATTCACCATATATAATATAAATAGTAAAATAAATCCAATTATATGATAATTAAACCAATTAATTTGTTATTATAGCACAAATATATTTTTATATTTCACAGTAACATAACAGTATAATATAACTTCAAAATTTATTTCTAAGTTATACTAAATACACTTTTGTTCTTATAAACTCTTTACCTGTTAAAATATATTTGCGATAATGGTATATTTAGATCATATTTGTTTATTATAATTGTCACTTAGATTGTTCAAATTTTTAAATTACATTTTTTCTTCAATTTTTATATATAAATTTATATAAATTAGACTTACAGTATTGAAATTACAATATCCTATTAAAATATACTATTAATAAAATATTAGAAGATTATTGGAATAAAATATATTTAAAAAGACATTACAATACATTTCATTATTTTTAATCAATTGATGCATTTGATACTTTACCAACTATCCAATGATGTTGATAATTGACAGCTATTGCTTCTCTTAATAACTGTAACTTTTTCTCTGAACTTTCATCTCCTGATGGGTAAAATTTTGTGCAAACAGTAGCACATTTGACATCATTCAAGAAATCCAACTATAAATAAAATATTAATTTTAATTTTTCTTGTTTTTAGAATTTAAGTTGTTAAATAAATAATGGACTTGAATTTGTACATCTACCTTATAAGGAGAAGGACGTATGCGTTCTCCAAAAACAACCTGTCCTAAGTTTTCAACTGGAGACTGTCCATCGTCTACCGTACAAAAGTCAAAACTAAATTATAGAAATAGAATAATTAAAAAAATTGTTACGAAAGTTATGTAAGTACTATATTATAATAAAGTAATATATAATATAATACACAAAAAATATAATTAAAAAAACTGAATATAATATTACTTACTACTTGTATTCGTAAGGTATGACATATTTCTCAGTGTTTAAACGATTCACATATAGTTTGATATCCGACTAAAACAGAGTTATAAAGTTTTGTTACCGATATAACTAACAATATTATAGTTTCTAAGATTTAAAAATATCATCAAACTATACAATCTTGCTTGATAATAACATGATAAGATACATGATAATATACATAAGTGTACAAGTTTATTACACCATAAAAGAAAAGTAATAACTAGTATTGTGTATGCACATGCATGCGTGCTTGTATGTGTGTATGTCACATACAATTTTTATAAAATTTATATAAAAATCACTTAAAATTATATATCGTATAAAATCAATATACATGTGAATAGTACACAGATAAAGAAACGGCAAAATGACATTGTGTCATGTTCGTACAATATACGTAGCAGCGTATTTATACGTAGAGTAAATTGGACTTCCAAACTAAGACAGAAATGTACAATTCAGTTGTCAAAAAATGAAACGTATAAAGCGTGAATTTATGACGTAATCGACATCTCGTCGAGCATAACCAATCGACGATTGAACGACTAATCACCTTTCCAATTTCTCGCACTATACATATAAGTACCTTGCAGGTTGATGTAATCTCGCCGGCTCTGCAATAATTCACGGGCGCCAGACCAGGCAAGTAAAACGCCACAACGCCGTGAAACGCGCACAGCGTGTAGAAAATCGCCGTTGTCGTTCTCATCGCCGTCGCCGTCACAATCACCGGGTCTCTCTATAAACGTCTGTCGTACCGCTCGTGTTTCTCCCGTGAAACGTATTCTACATAAAAGCACCCGATCGCATCATACGCCGCGCACCGCGCACGTCTTCGCGGGTCTCTTTTTATATCTCGTTGCGTGGAATTGCGCGAAACGTTGTCGCGAGCCAAACGCGTATCACATCTCGAGGGCTGCCATGACACGTCATAAAGTGCGCGACTATGCGCGGTCGCGACAACGAGTATCGGAGTATCTTGGTGACTAATAATCACTCGTCCCTCTCCAGCGCGCTGTTCGCGTTTCCCATCCTGTCGTGCGAGAGCAAACAAATAGAAATTCCATTTTTAAACTTCGCGCCGATTCGCGAAAGGACATGCGATTAAAAAAAAGACTAATGTTCCAAAGTGAGTCGAAATGTTCTCGTCTCAGGAATTGATTGTATTTAAAATATATATTTTTAATGAAAAAAATAAATATTACTTAGAGTATCATTTTTTTAAATGAGTTTTTCGAATTTATTCTATATTTTCTATTTTAAAAACAAGTTATATCAATTTTTTGTGGAATCCTGGTTCAGACCTTACATATTATATTATAAATTATTTTTAACATTATTTTTAGATGTTAATTTTCACTTTGTAAAATTAATTTCATTTACTACGTCGCACTTTCATTCAGTATTGTTAAGTCCTGTGTCCATGATGCTAGAGATCGGTTTAAAATCTGGATAAAGAAAGAATTGACCAATCACATTGATCACGTGACCAAATGTCTCAAATGTGATTTGTTATATACATATAGGATATTAGGATTTAGTTCTCTGTCAGGCTCTTTGACGATTGTTCTCCGTTTCCATCGCTCATCAGTCGTCATTGCTCATCACGGAGCTTACACTTCTCTTTTGTTTATGTTTTCTGTGCCGTATGGGGAGAGAGAAGTTTTCCCTGTATTTCCTCTAACCCCTTCCTATATGAAATTACATATGCACGTGCGACTGTGTAGTGTGTGGTATACCGGAACACCGGATTGCTTTGCTGCTTTTTTAATAATGTGATAGGAAATCTCGACCGAACGATTCGTTGGACATTATTTTGAGCAGATCAAAAAATGAGCACGATCTTAGAAAAAATCGCCTCAATCGAGGCCGAGGTAATTTCTATCATATTGCATTGTGATATAATTCGCGATCCACGATAACCTTTTGCAGCATTATCGCTCACGGCGATTTCCTCTTCCAGATGGCCCGTACTCAGAAGAACAAAGCAACTTCTGGGCACTTGGGCTTACTGAAGGCCAAATTAGCCAAGCTCAGACGTGAACTAATCACCCCGAAGGGTGGTGGTGGAGGTGGTGAGCAAGGTTTCGAGGTCGCCAAGACTGGTGATGCTCGTATTGGCTTCGTCGGTGCGTCTCTTTCGATCACATCAAAATCTTATACTTTATCGTAGCTGTCTTATAATTCTACATAGTTTGAACTATAGAAATTGGATACACATCTAGTTTCTGATAGACTGAAATTGTTATTTCTATTGCTATTGCTATTCTCTTGCATTGTGCCTGTGGTTTAAAAATGTGGTGCACTCTCTTTTGCTAGGCTCTGTATATTATATTCTATGTTTTTACATATGTGTTTTTACACATGATTTGTACAATAATTAAAAAAATTTATAGGTTTTCCTTCTGTGGGAAAATCTACATTATTAAGTACACTTGCTGGCGTGTACTCCGAAGTAGCCGAATATGAGTTCACAACACTCACAACTGTCCCTGGTTGCATAAAATATAAAGGTGCAAAAATACAGGTAAATCTACAATAGTGAATTATAGTTATTTATTTTGTATAGTGTGGGGCACCTCTAAATCAAACAATGGAATATCTTGAAAATGAAACACGGTAGGAAAAATGTTTTAGATAAAAGTTATATGATTCAAAGGGAAATAAATAATGATCAAATTATGTAAAAAGAATTGATTTGTCAAGGTCACATAGAAGTCATCTCCACTTTTTTAAATGGAATAATATAGTTTTTTTTTACATAAAGTGATTTTTTAAATTATTCTATACAGAAAGTATTAAGGATAGTATTATATTAACACTAACAGAAAGTCAAGGTTTTTATATTTTAAAAAGTAAAGGTGACTTCTATGTGATCTTGAAAAATCAATTTCATTTGAAAAATATTTTTATCATTATTTGTTACCCTTTTATCTGAAATATATTTTCTCTATCATGTTTAATTTTTAAGATATTCCAGTGTTTTGTTTTGAGTGCCCCATCCTGCTAATAACCAAGGTAATAGAAATTTAATGTTTATCAATATTTCTCAGTTTAAGTTGGAATTTGAAGTTGATTGTACATATGACAATAAAATCAAGTAAGATTATAACAGAATGCATCTTGCAGCTGTTAGATCTTCCAGGTATTATAGAAGGCGCAAAGGATGGTAAGGGACGTGGACGACAAGTCATTGCCGTGGCACGAACATGCAGCTTAATTTTCATTGTTTTGGATGTGCTCAAACCACTCGGACACAAGCGACTAATTGAGCACGAACTGGAAGGTTTTGGTCTGCGATTGAATAAACAGCCACCAAATATAACCTTTAAAAAGAAGGATAAGGGTGGTATTAATTTACAAACAATGGTGAGAAAACGATTTGTAATAATGGACTCCTAACGATTTAAATAAATAAATAATAAAATGGACATAGAAGTTAGATGGAGAGATTATTGCGCAAAATTAATCAATGGAACAAGTTCTGGCTTATGTTTTGAGCTTTCTTCGGATCACAATTATTAATAACAATAATCTATTTATGGATCTCAATAAGTTACTTCCAACATTGGTCAACCACATGAGCATTGTTCACATGTGGTTGAACAAGCGCATGACAAGAATTTCTGGATATATTAGAGATTGTTTTAGTTAATCCACGCAATAACATAAATCGCAAAAGTATAGTCAAAACGTGTAATCATCGGATATTGTTTTGTTTAGTGCACATTTGTATTAAACTTATTTTATTGACTAACTTCGCGTAATAATTTTCGATTCTTTCTCTTTCTGACTCTTATTCTGTCTATTTTATTATTTATTTATTTTTAAATAATTGATTAATAATTACAGTAATTTATAATTAACTCTTTGCGTTATGATTCGATCGATGAATCCATTCCTTCCGACTTATTCCATGATAGATGCTCTGATTTGTAATTAGCAATCGGAAAAACCCCCGCCGCGGGTTCAAAATTTCAAAAAAAAATCCGATACAAAAATTCGTGATACTAAGAAATTCCGAAACGGAAGTTACGATTTATCTCATATTCCTCTACTTATAAAACTTCAATTTTTCAATTCACCTCTTGTAAAACGAGATATATACAGAATGAGATTTCGGAATTGAACCCAGAATCCATCAACTGTAAGTCGATTGCTCTTGTTTGGAATCACGCATCATCCGATTAACATTAATAGTAAATATATACATCATCAAATATTGATAAAGATTATTGCGTTTATGTGTTTCAGTGTCCACAATCTGAATTAGATTTTGATACAGTAAAAATGATCTTATCAGAATACAAAATTAGTAATGCGGACATTACATTAAGGTACGATGCTACCTCGGACGATTTGATCGACGTTATAGAAGGGAATCGTGTTTATCTTCCTTGTATTTATCTTTTAAATAAAATAGGTAATTGTGTGTAATCTGATAAACACAAGTATATTTATAAATATTATATAATAAGAAATACCGATAAAAATGGAGAATTTTCTTATAGATCAAATAAGCATAGAAGAACTAGATATTATTTATAAAATTCCACATTGTGTGCCGATCTCAGCCCATCACAGATGGAATTTTGATGACTTATTAGAGAAAATGTGGGATTATCTACAACTTGTTAGAATGTAAGTTTACAATTTATTTCGTCATATGAACTGATTTAAGAATTCTATTAAAATAATATAATTTTAATTTTTAACATAGTTACACGAAGCCGAAAGGACAACTTCCAGACTATAACGCACCCGTAGTATTAAACACCGAAAAACGCACCGTTGAAGATTTTTGTAACAAGCTTCATAGATCAATCGCAAAAGAATTTAAATAGTACGTTTTTTATACTTTATCATTAGTTTTTGAAAATTTTTTTTACTAAATATTTACATGTATTATGTTGCAGCGCGTTGGTATGGGGCTCATCGGTAAAACATCAACCCCAGAAGGTAGGAAAGGATCATCTTCTTTGTGACGAGGATGTTGTGCAAATTGTGAAAAAAGTGTGATATTGTTTGTCTTGCACAATCGTTTCTTGGTAGCACAAATAAACTTAACTAATGAAATTAATGATATATTTAGAAAGATCATTTGAATTAATTATTATGGATATATATTATACACATAATATTACATAATATATAATTTAAATCGGTATTCGATGAGAAGATGCGTAAGTGCAGCATAAATGACGAAAAACTGTTTAAATTTTTGCAACATTGTAAGTATTTAGTTTCATATGTGAAATTGTGTATAAAATAATAATCGGATCTATACTTTATCTGTCATTTAAAATGTCATTTAAAACGAATGTGAGAGAAAGAGAGAGAGAGAGAGAGAGAGAGAGAGAGAGAGAGAG